CGGTCAGGCTGGAGGGAAGGCACCTGGATCCTGGAAGTGGCCTTGAGCCACTTCCCCGCCCCCACTAGAGCTGGCCCCAGCCTCATTAGCACATCACACGCACTGCACACGGGATTCTGGGCCGAAGAGCTAGTCAGAGAGTGGAGAGAATGGGTCCTGCCCACCCGCAGCAGAGCTAATTAAAAGGAGAAACCTGTTTTCCACATGTGCCTCTTCAATATGCACACATAGTGCTTTCTTGTCATTACATGCCTCACTTGTCACCAAAGCATTTTCAATCAATTCTGGCGTTTTTTTTCTTATACCTTTCGATTTAGCACATTCTTTCCTTAATGCTCCTCCCCTTTATTCCTTCAGCTGCTTCAAACAATTTTCTCCAGCATTTGAACAAACCCACATACATTCCCCTTCCCTTATTTTTCTTTTTTAAACAAAGAGAAAGCTGCTTTCTGTTGGGGGGGGGGAGGGGAAAGCACCAGAGACAATTTCGTTCTTTGGGTCTATATGGCGGATCTTGAGTCGAATGTTCTTTTTTCACCTGCGTAGAACTTTAATTAGCGCAAGTGAGAGGTCCATGCCAAGAAACGGGGCACCACATCACAGTTGCTACTGCAGAGCAGATTCCTTCCCTTAATAATGCCGTTTCCAGCTGAATCCTGCTTGCAGCCCTGATACAGAAAGCGTGTGCCTTAGACACTGGTTCCTGATGCTTTCAGGTTGCCTTGGCCCTGAGCTTCCTGACAGCCAGTACTGTGCAACCCCAGGTTTCCTGTGCAACCCCAGGTTTCCTGTGCAGTATGATCCACAAAGCATTTCACATGTATCTGTCTCATATCAGCCACACGCGTACCCTGTTAGGAAACAGGTAACGTCACCCCCATTTTGGTGATGAAAAAATTGAGGCTCAGAATGAGTAAATAATAGAGAATGAACTAAAACTGGGCCAAATCTGTCTTTGTGTTGCTAATGTAAGATGTCCAAGAGCTGTCTATGGTTAAAGAGAATATCTATTTTTAACAATGTGCTAAAATGTTTCTTTCTTCTTTCCATAGTCCAAGATTGTCCTAAACTTTGATTTGATAGAATTATTTTCTACAATCCTCTAAGTCAGGCTCTTTTCTGTCCCTGGGTCTTGCTTTGTTTGAGGTCAGTGTGGCAGGCAAAGATGCTACTTTCTTCATTTCCAGTTCTGATATTTTAGTTCTTTACCTGAAGATTTGTGGAGTCATTGGAATGTGGCCCAGTAAGGAAAACAATTCTCCTCCATTATATTTAAGTTAAGATAGATGGTGAAGATTAAAGGAACTATCTACAAATTATTGTGTTCCAGAAGCCTTCTGAATATTTCATTTCTAATGGAAGTGCTGGGTGGTTTTAAGCAACATTATCCATCATAAAACAATTTGAAAAGGCGGGGGGAATCCCATGGGGTAACAAAAACTGTTTTTCATCAGAAGTAGCCAGTTTTCACAAAATGCTAGAAATTTTTATATTAAAAATAGCTAAGCACACAGTCATGGTTACAAAGATGCTTTGGAATGAGAGTAAATGTTGAATCTTTTAAACATCTATCTGTGTGTGTATCTGGATGAGCTTTTTTGAAGAAAAATTACAAGTTTTAGAAAATCTCAGAAACTTTAAAACGGTGTCATTTATAATGTAAAATTAAAGCAGTTGAAATTCAGTGGCTGACTCATAGTTCCCACATCCATCGTCAGCTCTCCTGAGCTCAGATGGTTTTCTTTAAAAATTAGTGATATCAGCTAAGTGGGACTATTTCCCACTCCTACCCACAGAGAAAAGTGCTTTTGTGAACATGTCAACTCTGTTCCATTATATGCCATCATGGAGTGAGGCAGAAGCAAGCTGGCTGTTCCTACTTGATCACCAATACAATATAGGAGCCAAGTCCAAATAAGAAAACCCTAAAATGTCCATCCCCTTATTTTATGTGCATAAGCTACTTGGTTAGAACAGAAGGATTTTATATCTAGATGAGATCTTTGAAGGCTTTTCAGTCCAGCCTCTTTATTTTGTACATGTAGAAACTAAAGCACAGAGAGGTTCAGCAACTTGTCCAGCCAGGTCACACAGCTGGTAAAATAAAATAGTAGGCTGAGACTAGAACCCAGGACCGTGTGACCCTGTCTGTGCTCCTTTCACTCCATTGTTTCACAGGGAGGAGATGCTCTGCCCTGAATCACTCCACACTTGCTCTTTCCACAGCTCCACACCACTGTCACTCAGCAGTGCTTTCCATTGGTATCATGCTAAAGATAACTGGGAGGCAATTTTGTCCCTCCATCGATGTGAAGCCAGCCATCTGTCTCCCCCAAATCTGATCTTCACTCTGCAATCAATTCAGATTGCTCTAGACTCAGCAGTTCATTTCTTCCTGTGATTTACTTTCTAGTTTCTTCCTTCTGGACACATTTCATTTCCAACAAAATCTACCCAAGATGGCGCTCCACCAGCTTCTCCTTCATCCTTAGATTCCCATATGTATTAATCCCACTGCTGTCCTTCTTGTCTCCCAGCCCTAAAATTCTGGTCATTGTTGGTCTCCTCCTTCCCTGAACTCTGTGCTTATCCATAACCCACCCTCTCTGAATTCCACTGTTGGGTAATTTTTTTCTTAACTGTGGGAAGGGCCACTTAATGGGATTCCTTGAATCAAGTCTGTCTTGAGATGCTTTCCTAATAGTCACAGAAAGTCTAACTGGACCTAGAAGCACCATCCTAGCTCCTGGGTTGGCTGGTCGCATCATCTCTGTGGATTTATTACATCATTTAAACCTGAGAAACTGATGTGACTCCATTTTTGAGAAACCAGCCTCTACCTCAGAGCAAAGCCTGACCAAGGAAAGGGGCGTAACCCTTGCCCTTGGAAAAACCCACAGAGCACTCCTAAGTACATTCCCACCCTGCTGAGTTGTTTGTGTACAAATAACAAGAGAGATCTGCAGTGCCAGGTGTCCCTGACTCAGGCTACGTGAGGACCCATAGCAACCCCCTAGCAACCATCAATCAGCATGAGACAAGGAAAATACCTGGGATGCTAGATGACCCCCCATTAGTTTATGGTGGTTGAAACCATGTAGTTCATCATGTACTCCCCTCATGGCTTAAACCAATCAATTCAAACAAATCCCCCTCTTATACTAACCAATCACCCTTACCCAACTTGTTCCCACCAGTGAATGTGCTAATCAATGTTAAGAGTTGTTGTTTGATTTTCCCACGGTATGGAATGATTTGCTGTGTGATGTTGTGACTCATAGAGTATCCCCCCAAAACCTATAAAATCTCACTGAACAAAGGACCAGGACTCACTCCCTGGGACCGCTGCATCTGGAACGGTTGTGAGTCCAGGCTTGAACTTGCAATAAAGACTCTTGTGTGATTGCATCGGATTCATCTCCTGGAGGTCTATTGGGGTCCTACGAATCTGGCATTACAAACCTTCAGCTGCAGCTTATCCACTTATGAAATAAAGTGGAGCACAAGAACCATCGATCTCTAAAAAGATGCTTCCAAGTTAACAATTCTCATTCTCTGTCTCTCATTCCACTCTGTTCCACAGATTGCTTCCAGAGAAACCTTCCTAAATCACTGACCATTCTCCTCTCCCCCACTGCAAAATCCTTCAGTTCCTGCTCCTTTCACATGAATTCCAATCTCCTTAGCCTGGCACTAGAGACCCACTACAGATTGGCACCAAATGCTTTTTTCTGGCTCCTCCTGCCTGCTCTTCTCCACAAGCCCACTCTCCAGCTAACACTGACTACTCTCTTCTCAAAACACACATGCCAAGTTTCACATCGTTTTGCTCTAAGAGCACCAAATGCTTTCCACCTTGTGCTATAGGTGGAGCATATGCCACATCTGTGTGAGCTGCTTGCAAGCAGGGGATACACCTTCTTCATACACCCAGCACCCAGGAGGTCCCCAGTAAATAATTCTTGAATCCATGTATTCAGCCCAGAATCCCACTGGAATTTTTCAGCTAGCATATCCCATTCTTGATTCATACTGGGATTCCCAACCAAATCCCTACACCTTTTTAATATAATCTTTAGCTAAGCAAGTTCTCTTTCATTCTTGCCTTTTGCCTATTTTTGAATCAATATTTAGAACATTATTATTAGAGTTTAATTTTTACCCATTTTTCTTATCTGTATAGGTCTTTTTGGATTCCTAAGTCTCTTGTCTAGTTTATTGACTTCTCATTGTATTATTCACAAGGAAATGTGTATATTGACCAGGTTTCATTGACATTATTGATGCAGGAAAAAAAACAGATGTTTGCCATCTTGGCATCTCATCCTTGACAATGATCTCTTACCTTTTAGTCTTCTGATACAGTTGTTTAGCCATCTATGACTAGTCCCTTTTTCTGGTAATTCATTGTGCACACAGAGAACAAAGACTAATCTTACTAACTCATTCAGTCCCTTTACTGAAAACCAATTATGTACAGAGCATAATCATTTGATATGATAATCATATCAAATAATGATTAAGATTTGGTCCCCTTTCCTCTTTGAACTTTAAAGAGAAAACAGGACGAATTCACAGACAAATGGAGTGCCTGGGTAACGGGAGGCAAATCATAAGAGGTAGATCAGAGGGAGTTTCCAAGGAAGGCGAGGTTGGGTCCTAGCTAGGATTCTCCCTGAATGTTTTTTTCATAAGTGGGATGAAGCACAGGCTCTGGTGCTAAGCTGCTGTGACAAAGACAGTCCAAATTCACAGCTTTGCCACGATGGCTCTTCATTTTTTATCTCCTCCCGCTCAAGATAGGCAGGTAGTCCAAGTCCAGTGGCACTGCCCTCCTCAATAGGAGGCTGACACGTGGGTGTTCAAGGTGAGTGCTTCACCATCTCCCAGTCAGAAGGAAGGGAGACACCAAGAGGGCAGTCATTTTAAGAATATTCAGGAAACTGCATCCATGGCTTCCCTTCTTAATCACACTGGCCTGAGGGTGGTCACGTGACTAAGCCCAGACGAAAGGGAGTCTGGGAAATGTAGTCTTACCCTGGATAGCTCCCTGCCCAGCTAAAACTCGATGGCATTGGAAGAAAAGGGAAACAGAACAGGCCACTGGGAAGACAACTGGCAGCCTGCCACGAGGAGAAGGAGAACTCCACGTGAGGAGAAAAGCTGCAGGAGAGGGAGCTGATTAATTATATCTCAGCTGAGTGGATGTTACCAGGAACATAGATTTGGATTTCATAGGAAAAAAATTAGGATCCTGAAAGAAGGAATGGGCTATCTTGAGCATCAGCCTTCGTGGCTTCCAAAAAACTATCTAGAAAAAAATGGTCAGAAGAACTGATGCTTGGAGGGATGTTGGAGAAGTGTACCTGGGTGGTCGGCCTTGAGGGGGGGATAGGAAGAGAGGCCCTGGAAATGCACCACAGCCCCAGCTCTGATGGAAGCCCGGAGGACCGACCAGGAGGAATAGGTGAGGAGAGACCTCAGGATCAGAGAATAAGCCGGAAGTGCGGCTCAGCATGTGTGGCTTGGATGTGTCTGTCAGAAGGCAGCAGGGCACAGGGGAAGGCAGATCAGGGAAGTGCATTTGATGGGCCAGGGCAGAGATGATGAAGGTCAATCCAGGGAGCCTCCTTCTCTGGGGTCAGGAGTGGATGGTGCAGCATCTTCCCAAGCCCAGGAAACAGAGCTGGTTCTTTCTCTATAGAACAAGGAGCATCACAGTCGGTTCTGCTCATGAGAAGGCGTTTTGTTCATGCAAAAGTGTTTTTTTCTCACTCTGTCCTGATTTTCGTCTCTGTTCAAAATTCAGTAAAAGCATTACGGAATTTTAAAATAATGCAGCTCATTCTCCCCCACTCTTAAGTTCAACGAAGGTATTTCATCTGTTTGTTCTTAAAGTGCAACTCTTCTCTGGATTTATATGTGCTCTGATAGGAAATGCTTTGTGTATAAAAAACTATTCCCTTTGGAGGATGCTGTTGTTGCTTTGTGTCTCATCCAAGAATATATTTCACATCTGCTAAATAGTAGCATTTTCCCCACTAAGCAAATTCCAAACCAAGAGAGTCAAAGCCTGCAACTCTTACCAGCCGTCACATTTAAAGAATGAACTGTCAATGGACATTCTTGTCAAGTGGCCCCTGTGGATCCCTTCTTCCCATTCTGTTGTCTGGAATGTGGATGTGATATCTGGCATTCTAGCTGCCCTTTTGGATCAGGAGGATGAGTGGAGTGGACACTCTAAGCATAATGGAGCTGTGGGGGATGGAGAAGTAAATGGAAGGGGCCTGGTGATGATCCTGTTGCCCTCAAGTGTGCATGTGTCTGGAAGGCAGGGGTGTCCCTGATGTTAGAGTCATCCTACTTCCTCCTCCAATTTAATACTTGCTTCATGTCAGGCTCTGGCCTAAGGATTTACATGCATGATTCCATTTGCATCTCTTTAGGGCTAGTTCCCTCTTTTCTCCCATTTTATAGATGAGGCAACTGAGCACAGAGAGTTTTAGTGGCTTGGGCAGGGTTGCCCAGGACTGAACCTCCCTCTGTGGGATTCCAGAGCTTGGTTCTCCTCAGAGGAGCTGATAGCGCAGAAAGACTTGGTCTCTACCCTTCAGGCCTCCAAAGCCAAGAAATGAGGTCACCACCAGAGGACTCTATGGAGGTCACAGAAACCAGGAACAGGCAGGGCATGAACCTGGACCTGAAGTTTGGTGGAAGATTCAGAATCAAGCTTTTGGGGGGAAGAGAAAGGAGACATGGGGTGAAGTATGGCTGAGGCGACACAGGCAGTTCCAGGACCCCAAGTGGGCCAGACTCACTCCCATGTGGCCTAAGAATAAACAGCACAGGCTCTGGAGCCAGGTCACCTGAGTTCACCCTAGCTGCATGACCTTGGCCAAGGTAGTTAGTGCTTCTGTGCCTCAGTTTCCCTGTATGCAACCAAAACATAATAACAGTGTCTGTCTCAGGGGAGTGTCTTGAGGATTGCTGGGTATCTCTGAGACAGAGGCTATTTTCCTACATTACCTTCTATCTTCTTTTTTCTCTAGTAATAAGCACTTCTGTTTAACTATGCACATGACCACTCAGAATAAACATTCTATTTCCCACCCTTCGTTGCAGACATATAAGTGTCTTGCCAATGAAATATAAGCAGATGCTATGTACAGCTACTGAGGAAGGGTTGCTGGCATATACACTGCTTCCTTTTTCTTCTTTGTTCCTTCTTCCCCTTCTGCTGCCTGGGATGTGGATGTAATATCTGGCATTCTAGCTGCCATTGTGGACCATGAAGATGAGTGTCGTAGACACTCTAAGGATGGATGGTGGAGCTGTGGGCTGGAAGAAGCCCGTGTACCTGAAAACTTCATGAGCAAAGTCATCATACCAGGCCTCTGGGACCCCCTAGTCCTGTACTTTCACACGAAAGAGAAATAAACAACTCTCTATTCAAGCTATGTTATTTGGGGGCCTTTGTTACTTGTGGTTAAATGTAATCTTACCTGTAAAATATTTCAAACACATAAGGTGATGTCTGGCACACAGTGGGCAATTCAATAAGAATTGAGTTGTTTTATTATTTTGTGCAAATAATGGATGAAGTGAAGTCAAATTATGGAAGGGCTTCAAAATCAAGAGGAGAGTTTTGACCTTGATGTAAGGCAAAGTTTATATCTGTTGTTTCTAAAATTTAATTTGAGAATAACTAAACCTAAATGACCCACAATCAACAGGACAATCCTTTAAAGATAAAAGGCAAGAGCTGTGGAAACAGGAGAGAGAATTCTATCAGAACCCTGGCTAAGGGTGGTTATTAAAACTGTGCATTCAACTTAGCTCTGAATTGCCTGGTTATTTGGGTTCTGAAAAGATAAAGACTTTCCAGGCTTTTGAGCAGAGGTTTCCTGTTATGCAAGGTCTTTGGAAAGCAGTTGAGTCTGGAACTTCCTAATACAGATGGGTGGGAAAAAAATAGGAGTTTGCTAAGGAAGCCATTGCAGGATCCCTGCTACCAAGTAAGGATGGGTGGGCACAGCAGAATAGAAATCAGGGAACACATACAGAAGACAATTTGAAGGGGCTTCAGCGGACATAACAAGGAACCACTCTGGGGATAAAGGAAATATAATGCCAAGATGACTGGTATCACATCTGAGCAATTTCATCAGTCAGGTGTTGGCTACTGGAGTGCTGTGTATAATCCCATGCATCCAGCACATTACAACAATAAGCACTTGCTGATTGCTTAAGGGTGTGTAGCTCAGCTGTGACTCTAAAGGGTAGTGGACCAGGATGCTAATTGTGTTTAGGTCTATTTCAATTATCTCTTTATTCTGGGGCCAGAGGCCACCCAGGCAAATTCATCTTGAGGCAAACAACAGAAATGCAAGAGTGTAAACCAAGCCACAAAAGCACATGGAAAACCTCTGCTGACCTCACTTCCAAGAAGGTTCCTATCGGTCAAAGCAAGTCACATGGTTAAGTCCAAAACTGAATCGGGCCAAAGGTATTGGACAACTCTCCCAAGAGGCATCCCAAGGTCACATCATGGAAAAAGTAACAATATGGCACACTAACCCATTTATTAATTGAGCAACTAAAGAGTGCTGGCCTAGACATGGAAATGAGGAGTGGAGTGGAGTGAGATGCTGGGTTTCCTAATCATCTGCACCTGTGATGTGACAGGCATCTGGGCTCCAGATCTAAGTCTGGGCCACCCTCAGCTTTTCTCTTGCTGCTATCTTTCTGTCAAAGATGTGGCATCAAGATCACCAAGTGGAACTTCTTCCTGCTTCTAGGTTTCTTACCCTTTTCACTTTCTCTTCCTGGTGACTAGAATCCTGCTATATAGTAGCTCCTCCAAACCACCTTGCAAATGACCGCCAGTGGATCTCCCATAAAAACAGCTGTCCAAATTGGACATGCTATCAATGAAAAGGCTAGAAGGAAATATTCCAAAATGTCACTTTGAGGGATGGGACTTCTGGCTATTTTTGTGTCTTTCTGAGTTTTTCAAACTTTCCACAATATATGAAAATAAATTTTATTATTTCAAATATTTTAAAAATATTTTTATTAGTTGTTGATGGACATTTATTTTATTTATTTATTTGCATGCGGTGCCAAGAATCAAACCCAGTGCCTCACATATGCTAGACAAGCGCTCTACCACTGAGCCACAACCCCAGCCCTAATTCAAGTATTTTTTTTTTATGATTAAAAATAAATAAATAAATCCTGTCATTGGCTCCATTCTATTCTCATCCATCTTTTGCCAGGAAATATTTGAAGAAAAATACTATCTAGGAAGCATTAGTCAGCCTAGAAGACCTGCCAGGCTATTTCTTCCTGAAGGGACACAGGGGCAGGTATTGTTCTACTAAAACTAATTTCAAAGGTGTGGGGAAGGGACTTTTTGCATGAATACAAAAGGAAACACATACAGAAGACAATTCAATGGAGCTTCAGTGGATATGACAAGGAACTACTCTGGGGATAAAGCAAATAGACATTTTCCTCTTTTTCTTCACTTAGTTGTCTTGGTTTGAACTTGTCTAGGAGCTAAGTCAGGCGTGAAGCAGCACAAGAGATCTTCCAGTTGGTTTACTTTCAAAATTCTCATCAGATCCTTTGATGGCGAGTCATGGCACCGCCATCTTGTATCTGATGGCAGGCAAAGTTCCAACCTGGAAAGATCCTCCACATACGGAGGGTTATTTTTAACATCCCAATCCTGACTCTCTCAGACTTCAGAAGAGTCTGTTTTACATGGAAAGTTTTGGAGTCAGGCTAGTCATGATTGGTGTTACTTGCATAGATTCTTTTTGGATCTGACCTCTCTCCCTCCCCACGGCCATCAAGTTTCTTCCATCTCATTTAAAACTTCCCCAAGTTACCATGTTCACTTCCTCCTTTTGGATGCACTTTGCTGCCCCCGCCCACAAGGCCTCACTCTGTTTTACTTCTTTAATGATACCGCTCTGTGGTCATCAACCACTTACCTGCCAAGTCCAAGTGCAGCCTCTCTCAGCTATGCATGAGATCTTCAATTATTCATTCATTCTTCAAACCCTTATTCCCTTGGCTTCTGTGAAATCATGCTCTCCTGGTTCTCCTTGGCTCCCCCTGGTCATTTTAATTCCTACTTCTGTTTTTTCCTCCCTTCAGCCTGTACGTGCTGTGGAGTTCCATCCTCTGCCCATTGTAACTCTCACCCCATGCTCTCTCTGTGGTCTGATTATTTCTTGGTTTTAACTGCAATGCATGTGCTGATAACCCCAGCCCAGATCTTCTTTCCCCTCTGATTCATAATTCCTGGAAATGCTGGCTACCACATGGCCACCATATCCAAAGCAGGACTCCTCATCTCTCCATTATTTGGTTAAAACAGTAAGCAGAAGAACTGTTTCTGCATCGCTTATGCACAATGACATAAACTGGAATGACTACAAGGTGGTTTCTAGAATCAAGGGGGCCACTGAACAACCTGGTGTCTGGGGGACAAGAACTAGGTCACTCTAGGGATTCCCAGGAGCAAATTCAACATGCCCAGTGTGGATCATGCTCCACTTCTTGGCATCTGTTATCAGAATAGTGAAGTATTTAACATCCCAGATGACAAGACAAGAGCTACCAGGCTTTCCAAATCTGCTGTTACTTCTACAATCTCCATCTTGGTAGCTCTGCCATCCATCCATCTACCCTAGTACCTCTTCCCCTGGTCTCTCTCATTCTCTCCAAGGGTAATCATCATGTAATCCTAAGATTTTACTCTTAAAGTAATTCTTCAAAACAGTTGTCCCTTCTCCATCATTTGGACCTAGTTTGGGGTCTTATTGTTTCTTCTCCTGATGACTATCAAGCCTCCTACAAAGATTCTCTGTGTCCAGCCTTGTCTATTTCAAATTTATTCACCACTTGAGAGCAGGATGGTCTATCTAAACCCAAATATGATCATGTGACTCTCCTGTTTAAACCCTTTACTAGAGAGTGAGCTATGGGGCTTACAGTCCCAGATTCTTGATATAAAAGACAAATTCAGCCAGGGTATTGCCCTTACCACCCTACTCCCGACCTCCGGCTATTATCAGACCCTCTTTATAGCTCATTGAGACCTCACCTCCCCAGGCTGTCTTCCCTTCAGTTTTCCCTGACAGCTCATGTTTACTTGAGACCCTCCCCCCTCTGCATGTTTCCATGATGCTGTGGACACATTATCATTACTACCCATTTTTGGTAAGTGTCTGATGCTGTCTCTTCCACTATTTGTCAGTTTTTGAAAAGCAGGTACAGGAGAAGGTATATGGTAGGTGCTCAATGGATGTTTTTGAATTATTACTGATTTTGGTAAATCATATTAACTCTGAGTTTTAGCTTCTTCATGGCAAAAAGGAGATAATTACCTCCCTTGTGCTGTGAAATTAAATAAGATTTACAAACAAAATCCCTTGCTTTGACCAGGAGTGGTGTCGCACACCTGTAATCCCAGTGGGACTGAAGGCTGAAGCAGGAGGATCACAAGTTCAAAGCCAGCCTCAGCAACTTAGCAAAGCCCTAAGCAACTTACTGAGAGTCTGTCTTAAAATTAAAGGGGGGGGGGGGCTTTGAGGATGTACTTAGTGGTTAAGCACCCTTGTTCAATACCTGGTACCTAATTAATTAATTAATTAATTAATGCCTTGTTCTGGGTCTGGCTCATAGTAAGGGCTCAATTAAAAGTCACTTTCCGAATGATCATTTATCCTCCTAGAACAATTTTAACTAAAAGGGGAAATTACCCTTTGTTTAAATGTGTATCTCTCCTATCTGACCACAGCTCAGTGAGAAAAGAAGGCCATGTCTATAATATCCAGCTCAACTTTTTGCACATGACAGTGCTTTATATATTCTTGGTATAAATGAACAACTTCTGTATATGCTTATTTGATCATTAATTTGCATCTTCAATTTTTTAATGTTTTTTCCTTTTTCCCATTATATAAATTACTAACTTCAATTTATTTGACATGTACTGCTTCCTATTATCAACCAACCAAAGCTGGAGAAAAAATGGAGGCTGGGCTATGGGACAAGACATAAAAATTATGTAGTCAGGGTGTTTCCTGGCCACACTGTAGCTCTAGAGAGGCCATCTGCAAATGCACTTCTACCTGCTAAGCATAAGAAGCCCATGATTTATATGTAATGGCACATTTCATCCCCAACTGCACTAGAGGGAGGTAGGTGCTGTGTCCAACTATATCAGGCAGGATCGAGCAGGGCACAGATCAGCATGCTCAAGCTGGGAAACTGAGGAGAGTTTAGCAGAGGACTTTGAGGGTGGACAAGGAAAGGAGTCCTACAAAGAATGGTATGATACTCCAGGTCCAGCAACATTTGGAGGTCTTCATCCCTGCAGCGGTGAGGAAGAGCCAACCCTCAGCCATCCAGGAGGGAAGGAGCCAGGAGACTAAT